CAAGATCAAGTCAGACTTCCCTCGATGTTGGCTCTTTCAGATGGATGATGAACATAAGGCTAGACCATCTCATTTTTCGAGTGAAGGAACGCTGCTATTTAGAGTATTATCTGTCGTGCCGGTTCACCCGTCAATTTGGATACGACCAATTATACGTTGAGAATCCGAACCAATAGTTTTATACTCGTGGCGGACTAGTAGACGGTGCTCGAACTTAGCTGTGGAACGTGACGGGCTGTACCGGTTCCAAGTTCAGCCTTCCGAATACTGAACGCCAATTAGAGTTGACGTACTTATGTTACAAATGGCTTATGACAGCTAACGAGTCCATCCCTCTAAGGCTAATTACGGAGTTGGTGGCTAAAGCTGTGTCACATATTGCTGAGAGGATGGTCAGCGTGTAGGAATGAATGAGACGCGACAATAAGCTCGCTGGTCCCTCAGGCAAAGGAAAGCAGAAAATAGAAGAAGTAGAAGAGGAGTCGTTCGCTTCTGACGAGGATACTTCCGGAGAGGATGAAGTCACTACTGGTGGGGGTATAGGGGTTAACAGCGATTTCGAGGAACATGCGATAGGTTTGTCTGTGTCTTTTTATAAAGAGTTATGAGATCTATCAATCGGTGATCGAGCTTGTCGACTTGACGCTCGAAAGAAGTGGAGAATTTTGCGCACTTATAATAGAATGATGGTTGAACTTTCAGATGTAGGTTCTGAGGGAGAAGAGGGGAGAAGTAGCCTTGTCACTCGTGCTCGATCTCGGGCTACAACTCAAATTGGATCGCAAGTTGAGTTACGTGCTACATCAACACAGGACAGACATATGGATCTTAAAGAGGCCTAACCTACGAAACGACTGAAGTTGACCATCAAGTGACACGCTAAACCACAGGCTTGTCAAATGTGGGTGGTCGGCGATGAGCACATTGGTGGGGAAGATAACGTTTCGACTGTTGTCATCTTTTCAGTCCTTTCATCTACCAAGCTTTAGATTTAGCAAATTTTATATTCTAAGGGATTATGAAGAAGACGCAATGATGTACAATCCTCCTTCTCCTGACTTACTTTTTTGGAGGATCCAGCTTCATGCCACAAGTAGATGAGGCTATGGCCCAAGTAGATGAGGCTATGGCCGAGGATTCGGTAGGTGCTAAAACAGATGTGGCCCTTGAAACTGGCAAAGATGCCGTTGTAGAATCTAGTTTATCTACAATGATCGCTAGCCCAGGTACATCTATTACCAGTAGTACACCTTTCAGGTGGCAATATCGGGCATTAAACGACTTAGAGTTCATCCCTCCTCTAATTGGTTATATGCTTCTGGCTCTTTTAGAAAAGCTACAAGAGATGAGTGCTGATGCCGGGATCATAGGGCATATTGTTGCTACCGAAGGTAAATTTAATTCCCCTTCATCGTCACTTCTCGACTTCTCTTTTCATGTCTTACACTTAGGCTTTCCTGTAGATATTTTGATGGGAGGTTTAAGTGATAAAGAAACCTTTCACAATGCAGCCGATGCACCTTCATCTGACCCCGTACAAGATCCTTCGAGTTCTGGTGACAGGTCGTTCGACGATATGTTGTCAGAACAAATTCATCATGAAGCCATCGAACCACTCATCTAAGCTGGTTCCTCTGCCGGTATGAATTTTATCTCTTTGTGAAAGTTATTCACTTATCAGTCTTACTTAATTGTAGGGGAGTTATACTTGTAGGACCAGTCATTAAGACAGATGCAGCTACTATTGTTGGGATATCTGACGGTCCTAAGGGTCTTGATTTCTTGCTGTTGGCAGGAACTATCATAGAGGCTCAGTCGTCAGTTGCTCAAACTCAACTCACAATCCTTACAATTGAGATGACTGCTGCAGCTGTGGGGGCTAACCCTATTGAGCAAGCCGTGAGACCAACTAACGAGGTTAGTATGTTGACGACTGCAACATCGGCGACAATCCTAACAGTTCGTGAAGCCGTGCAGGCAGAACCGGGTGCAGGGTGTCAACTTGAGGGAACATTACTCAATTTTGGTAAATTTTTATGCTGATACTGATTTAGAAATTTGGCTAAGATTTCAAGATATTTATATCTTCTGTTCCTTGTAGGACCATCTACTCGGCTTAATGACATAGTCAAGGCTCTGCTATCTGATGATGACTCGGATCAAACTCTGCTTTGCATGGAAGTCAATTCTCTCTTCTTCTTTGTGAACACGATGATTGATAAGCTTCTCGTCAGGCGACTTTCCTTCCATCAATTTAGACCAGCGTTGGCCACCAAAATAAATGCCATAGAGAAAGCGGGATCTCCGAATCTGGCGCAAGCTATAGCTGATGATTTGGACCGACTGGAGCATGACCTTTAGAGGTTACAAGAGTTGAAAACTACTGGTGCTCCCATCATACATAGCCGCCCAGATGGAATCTCGTCTACAAATATGGCGTGATACTCGAGCCTCCGCTGGACTTGAAATTCAAACTCAACAAAGTCGGGTAGATCAAATGAAAGCCGCCCTTGCTAAGAAACAAATAGCTTTGTGTCAACTTAAGTCCTCTATTACATCGAGCGAGGCCAGGATAGAGCGACTTAAAGAGGAGCTCAAGGCAGAAGAGGATGCCTTGGTTATCTTGGAGATGATGAAGGTTGACCTAGAGCGTTCACAGGTTATGATATCCGAGAAGTAGGAGCTCTCATAACAGAAGCTAGCCAAGATGGAAGAAGAGGCTATGAAAACATTATCCCTCATCGAGGGATCCTTCAAGGTTGAACTGCAACGTGAACTTGAGCGAGCTTATACAAAGGAATTGGCTAAACTTGAACAGTAAGTCCGTAGTCACGAACTTCATGTAGATTGATTGTAACTCTTGTATCTGCAAACTTAGTTTTATATTAATAGAAGATATTTTCTTTTTCGTTCACTGTCTCTTTTATTATGATGTATCATTCTATTTGGAATAATCAACCATAAAATTTATAGGATTTTTGGTAAACCCTCAGCCATTAACAGATTTGATATGCCTTTACCGACTACCGTTTGAGTCGGACTAGTATGCGGATTGTCTAAGTTCGTTCCGCATACAACGTTGTTATAAAAGAATACATTCTTTTAGGCTTGACGCTATGATATTGAATACATAAGCTTTGTCTTTGTCACAGAAATAGACTACCCGGTAATGCGTGTTAGGTGCTGACTAATCATTACTTAGGATTCAGGATAAAAATCTCAGAATTGGATTCTGGTGTCCTTTTCAATCGGTGAAAGATTAAACCGGCAACGTGTGTTAGGCGTTGACTTATCCCTACTTAGGATTTGGGATAAAATTCCCCAGACTTGTATTCCGGTATCTTCTTCATTCGGTGAAAGACTAAACCGGCAACGTGTGTTAGATGTAGACTTATCTCTAAATCGGGATCGAGATAAAATCCCTCGTGTATAAAGTACACAGATTTGAAGTCAAGAATTGTTTGTTTTCTTAGGGTAGAAACGAACCCGATGCTGGAGAGGAAGAATTTTATATTCTATCCTCAGGTCTTGTTTAGGGTGAAGACGAACCCAAAAATGGGAGAGGAAGAATTTTATATTCTCTCTCTCAAAACTGAAGAGGAAGCATTTTATATTCTATCTCCAGTTACAAAGAAAACTCAAAGTGGGATCTCCACCCCAAGAATCCGAAAAGATAAAATTAGGAGTAAGATCTCCACTCCGAGAATCGAAAAGATTCAAGTAACCCTAACTTTTATAGGATTGGTTGCTTAATCCAAGAAAAGAATTCCTCATTTATTAAGGTGAAATTTCAATTTTGGCCCTAACTTTTATAGGTTTGGCCGAATAGGAAAAGGTAGAAGGCTTTCATTCATTGAAAGAGACATTCTGATCTTGGTCATAACTATCTACAGGTTTGACCAAGTGGGGTTAGAGGCAATCCTAACTTTTATAGGTTTGATTGCTCAAATTAACAGTGGATCTCTTGTTCATGAAAGTAATCGAGAGGGGATTCTGGTTTTGGCCTTAACTTTTATAGGTTTGACCAAGAAAGTAGTGGGAGTGGAATACATATAGCAGTAAAAATACCGACTTGTAATAACCACTCGATGGAGGATTTCGATGTTAAGTGATCAGGACTTAACATGTCAAGTTTGAAAATTGCCAAAGGTTGGCGGATAGAAATTTCGAGTGTCGTGTTAGTATTTTAACAACGTGAGCATTAAGTGTACAAACACGACGAGAGTTTGAAAAGATTTAACTGATAGGAATTTGGTGGACCTACCGTCAATTGATTTAATCGGTGGGGATTTTGTCAGAAAAGATTAATCTATTAAAATGGTCGAATCTCGTCTTAGGAAAAGTATTCATAAGAGTTGGTGAATTTAATCTTGATAATGAGATACATTTCATCATTAAGGACCATCAGGGTCCAACCGGGGATTTCTTACTTATCCCTTTTTGTAATAATCGGGTTATCCCTAAGTGTACCACACGTAGTATTCTTCCAGGAACATTTCGATACATGGGTTATCTTGAATGTACTAAGGGTAGTATTTTTTTAAGAATTTTCCATTTATCGGCATCATAAGCCCTGCGCCTTCCTTGGTAATAAGGCGATATGCGCCATTTGAATAGACTATCTCTACCATAAATGATCCTTTCCATTTGTGTTCAAACTTACCTTTCTTCTTGGAATTGAGGATCATTGGCCGTCGGACAGCTAAGACCAGGTCCCCTTCTTTAAAACTCCATTGTCGAACCTTTTTATTAAAAGCTCAGGAAATTTTGGATTGGTAGAATTCAATGTGCTGTTGGGATTCCAAGCACTTTTCGTCGAACATCTCGAGTTCTTCAAGATGTTTCTGATGCCAGTCTTCGGTCGTCATCTCCATTGAAAGATCGATCCGAAGAGATAGAATTTGGATTTCTAATGGAAGAACCTCTTCAGTCCCGTACACCAGAGAATACAGGGTTGTTCCAGTAGGCGTGCGAACTGTGGTGCGATAGGCCCATAGGGCTTCGCCGAGTTTATCATCCCAATCTCGTTTATTGGTCTTCACGAGTTTCGACAAAAGTTTTATGATAGTTTTGTTAAAGGTTTCAGCCAATCCATTTGCTGTGGTATTGTAAGCTATCGACAAGACGTCTTAAATTTTGAACCTCTCACAAAATTTGATGAATGCATTACTCACAAACTAAGGACCGTTGTCATGTATGATTCGCCTTAGGATACCATATCGGTAGATAATATGGTGCTTAATGAATGCAATGACGTTGTTCGTCTTCACTTCTTTGAGCGGAATCGCTTCGGCCCACTTGGAGAAGTAATCTATAATCGCTAGAATGAACCGGTCGCCTTTGGTCGATGGGGGAAAAATGGGACCAACGACGTCCATTCACCAAGTCTCGAAAGGCCATGATGTAGCTGAAGGGTGTAGATGCTCCGGGGGTTGGTGCATATAATTCACGTGTACTTGACACGCATGACACTTTCGGGCATACGCGATTGCGTCTTTAATCATGGTGGGCTAGAAATATCCCATCTTTTTGATACGGTGGTTGGTGCATATAATTCACGTGTACTTGACACGCATGACACTTTCGGGCATACGCGACTGCGTCTTTAATCATAGTGGGATAGAAATATCCCATCCTTCTGATATGGTCATAAAGTTTGGGGCCAGGTTGATGTGCACCATAAACTCCTTCATGCATTTCTTTAAGGACTTCTTCCGCTTCTTTAGTCGATAAGCAACGTAGTAACAAACCATCGTACCCCCGATGATATAGCGTTTGACTCACTGTGTTATAGTAGAACCTCGGTGCTCTCCGTCGGATTGAGTCTCTTTCCTTCGTGTCTTCCGATAAAATCCTGTGCAAGACATAGTCTATGATGGGAAAACGCCAGTCTTAGGGTTCGAACTCAATTTGGGTTGAATGCACTTCTTTGGGATCCTCCTCTCTATTGTTTATATCGTAGATTGGTACGAAGAGCTGGTGAGTTCTTACCGTAACAAATTGTTCCATTTTGGGAGGCTACACCAGAGATACTGCTAATGCTACCAACGCATCTGCGTATACGTTCTGTAAGCGTGGAATGTACTCGATGAAGAATCCTTCAAACAATTCTGCCATCTCAACGGCCACCTTATGGTATAGTATTAAATCTTGATTTCTGACCTCATATTCTCCTTGAATTTGTTTCACTACCAATTTGTTTCACCCCCAGCTCTTTAGCAAAACTGAGTCCAATAAGCAGCACGTTATACTCGGTTACGTTGTTTGAACATGGCTCGGTCAGTGAGTAGGCTCGAGGCATCACATGTTTTTCCAGGGAAACTAAAACAAGTCCAACTCCAGAGGAGATCTTAGAACATCCGGGAGTGCTTGCTACGTTAGATGCTCGAGAAGCCCCATCGAAGTATAAACGTCATACTTGTTGATGAGAAGTTACGTTGACTTTCTGGGTTTTATCCGGCAGATCGTCGTATATCTCGGCGATATCCGTAGTTAGGTTAGCCGCTAGAAGATTGCAAATAGCCTGTCCTTTAACTGACTTCTGTTGTTTAAAGTGCAGATTGTATTGGGACAGCAGTAGGGCCCATTTTGCTAACCATCAATTCATGATCCGGCAGATCGTCGTATATCTCGGCGATATCCGTAGTTGGGTTAGCCGCTAGAAGATCACAAATAGCCTGTCCTTTAACTGACTTCTGTTGTTTAAAGTGCAGATCGTATTAGGACATCTGTGTCATGAATACTCGGACTGGGTTGACATTGGAGATGACATAAATAGCCTGTCCAACTAAGTAATGTCGCATCTTTTGAATTGTGAACACTAAGTCGAGACACTCCCTCTCAATCATTGGATACTAGGATTCGGCACCTACAAGGGTCCGGCTCAAGTAATATACAGCCTGTTCGTGACTGTTGTCGTCGTCTTGTGCAAGCAATGTACTTAACGAGTGGCTCGTCGCCTTAACATAAATCAAGAACTGTTTGCCTGATTCGGTGCAATGAGTACATGGGGTTTCGAGAGATATTCTTTAATATTCTCGAATACTTTTTTGACAAGCGTCTTCCCATATGAATGATACGCCCTTCTTTGTGAGTCTAGAGAATGGCTGATACTTTCCTGAAAGGTTCGAAATGAACCGAGGGATATACGCCAACCGCCCTTGTAACCCTCTGAGTTCTTTAAGGTTTCTCGGGGGTTGCAATTCATTAATCGCCTTCAACTTATCAGGGTCAATGTGAATACCCTTGGTGGTGACGACGAATCTAAGAAATTTGTCGCTGGACATTCCGAAGAAAGATTTTGTAGGATTCATCTTCAATTGATGAGTCCGTATTAGGTCAGACATCATCTTCAAGTCCTTGATATGATTATTCTTGTCATGGCTTTTCACGACTAGATCATTCATATAGCATTCAACAGTCTTCCGAAGATACTCTTGGAAAATCTTCGACATAGCTCTCTGATAGGTAGCACTTGCTTTCTTTAAGCCGAAGGGTATGATCGTGTAGCAGAAAACACCGAGGGTTGTTCCGAATGCGGTATACTTTTCGTCATCCGGGTACATTTTTATCTGGTTATAACCAAAAAATTCGTCCATGAAGGACATTCTCTCGAATCCGCATGTGTTATCAATGATAACATCCGTGATGGGAAGAGGAAAATCGTCTTTCGGGCAGGCGGTGTTAAGATCTCTGAAATCAATATAGATTCTGATTTTCCCATTCTTCTTAAGGATCGGGGTAATATTGGCAAGCCATTCAGGGTGTTGCTCCTCCCTAATGAAACCCGAGTCAATAAGCTTTTTAACTTCTGATTTGATTGCTTCCATGATTTGCGGACGAAACCGTCTTTGCTGTTGTTTGATAGGTTTGACATCTGGCTTAATGTTGAGACCGTGCATTGCCACATTTGGATCGAGTCCTGGCATATCCTCGTAGTTCTAGGCAAAAACATTGATGTATTCCCTAATGAGGGTAATTAACTCTTATTTCTCATTTGACAGGAGGCTGTCGCTAATGAATATTGGCTTCGGATTATCCTCGTCACCCATATTCACCTAGATTACTTGATCCTCAGTAGGGGGTTCCCTTTGTTCAAACCTATCACCGTACTGCATATTCAGGTGATGAACCCAAGGGTCTTCCCAAGTTGGTATTTGATCTTCCTCAATTGTGATGGGATCGATCGTAGTCATGTTTGACATTAGTCTTTTGAACATTTCTCCAAGACTAGTGTCAGAATCCCAGGCTGAAGAATCAGAAG